GGGGCGGCCAACAAAGCCATCGCCCCCTTCCCCTCCCCCCAGACGGGCCGCTACTTACAGAGCTTCAGGGCCGGGGCTCACACCTGAGCTGGACCGCAGAGGGGCTGCACCTGGCCTTATGGGTAGGTTCCTGGACGGAGCCCTGGGGAGACTGGGGGCGGGGAGGCTGCAGGGCCGAGGGGAGGATATCCGCAGCCCTCAGTTTGAGAAGAGTCAAGTATGCCTCCCCGGCCCGCAGGAGCTGCGGCGTCCCTGCCTGGCCTGAGTGCTGGAGATGCTGACTTAGTGCTGGCGCACCTACTCCCTGCTCAGGAGCCCCAAGCCCTACTCCTCACTGGGCTCAAGTGTCACCTGGTGCTCCCAGGGGACAGGAGGAGCAGCGGGCTGGGAGTCTGGGCAGTGGTAACTGCAGGCGCTGGTTGAGCGGGGCTGGTGGACCACGAGTTGGTTTGGAAGCTGCTTTAGCTGAGCTGCTGGCAGATGGGTGCCTGGCATTTCCTGGTTGACCTGTATTCCTGGCTAGGGGACCAGGCTGTCCTCAGGGCCCTGCCAGCTTGCAGCCTCCTGAGAGGGACAGCTTCCTCTGCTGCGAGTTCCTGGAAGCCACCCGGCAGGCAGCCAGAAAGAAGTGGTTGGGGGTGGGAGGAAGCAGGGTGACCCTGACAGGGGGTTGCGGGGGCCAGCCTGAAGCTGGCCTGTGACACCAGGATAGCCTAAGGCCGCGTGGGCTTGGGGGCGGTGGCGCTCAGACCTCTGACCTTTGGAATGGGAAGTGCTGAGTCGCTGCGGGAGGTGGAGGCGGGACAGCTGCCAGAGGAGATGGAACTGGAGGATAGACAGTAGTAGTCAGTGGAGTTACCAGTGGCTTTCCCAGGCTGGCCAAACTCTGGGCCAGGTGGCTTCTGAGGAATGGTGTAGTGCCCCTCTTGGATCCTGCTCAATCTCTTGGCCCCTCTGTGGGTGAGGAGCCATCAGCCCAAATGGCAGAGCCCTGCGCTAACCCTCTCTCTCCTATTGTTTGCCTGGGCAGGAGAGCAGGAGAGAACGTGGAAAGGAGGATGCTTTCCCGAACTGCCCCGGGCAGACTATTCTAATGAGCCCCTCCCCCATGCAGCCTCGCCTCTGCCCCTTCTTCCCCTTTACTTTGGCCTCCTGCTGCTAACCCACCTCCTTCCTCCTTCCCCCACCCCTGCCGCCCTTGTCCTGATGGAGGCCCCTTCCTCCTCCGCCAGCCCAAACCGTGCTGGGTGCGTGTTCTGCACCAAGTGGGTTGGGGATGCTGAACAGCTATCAGCAGCGGCATCTGACAGGCTGGGGGAAGTTGTGGGGGAAGAAGAATGTTCAGGAACTCACTGTGGAGGGGTTGAGGAGAGAGACAAAGGGGCTGTGGGGGAGTGATGATGGTGGTGTCAGGCACGACTCCCTTCTAGACCTGGGGAGCCCGGGGAGGAGCCCGCGCCCACCCGCTGCCACTTGCTGTGGAAGTGATGGCGGGTCCTTTTCCCTTCCTGCCCTCTGCCACCTCCACACCTTGTGGTGGCTGAGGGGCCTCATCATGCCTGGAAACAGGGCCTTTGGATCATCCCAGCAGCACCCTAACCTGGGTCAGGCATCCGTGCCTGAAGTTTGGGAAGGTGTGGTGGAGAGGGAGCAACAGCTAGGCACGGGTTTGTCTGTGTGACTGGTGTGGCCCCGGATCCCAGGATAGGAGGTAGCCTCCAGGAGAAGGGAACCCCTTCCCTGTAGACCCCATTGCATCCTCTTGTGGGTGAGGAGGTGATAGCTAATTGAAGGTAAGACCGAGAGGTCAAAGTCCGGACCAGGTGAGAGTGCACTAAGGAGGGCTGAGCAATTACTCTGCATTCTTCCACCCCCACCACCCGTGAGCTCATTTTCCCAGCTGTTTGTGGGCTGGGGGCAAAGGATGCCTTATCCCATTTTAGAATTTGTTGAGTCAGAGAAGGAACCAGGACTAACATCCTATGTTTTAGGAATCACCATAAGAAACAGATTTGGTCTGTGGCTCGGAGGCAAAGACTTGAAGATTGAATGAAATTAAATGAATCTACGAGACAGTACATTAGACCATTGAACTTAAAACAAAGGTTAACTTGGGAGCTTAGGATCTGGAGGGGATCCATTGATGGGCTTTGGGAGAGTCCTTGGAATCCTTGATATATGCATCAGATTCTTAAACAGATCTGAAAAGGTTACCAGAAGTCCTTTAGTCCAAATGCCTTTTTAGGTAGGATCAGCTCCGAAGAGAAGGGACTACTGCGAAGTCAGCTGCCAGTTTGTTGCAAGGCTAAGACAGGAGTGTAGATGCTCTGACTTCCAGATGGAGCTCTTCCTGATACTCCTTTCCGATACTTTTTTAATCTTTAGGATGGGTTTGCATTCACAGCTCTGGGCTCTTGTGGAAAGCTTCATGTTAAAAAGCATGTGTTAATAAAACATGGGATTTTTTTTCCCCTTTGAATCAGGTATGGTGGAAATGGGTGCAGAGCATTGAAGTTAGAAGGCTGTGTTTCCTAAATGCAGTGCAGGGTGAATGGTTCTCAGAGCTAAGTATCAAGGATTCCATTCTTCTTTATAGGGATCCTGGAGCAGGTTTCGAGAAGCAATGGGCATGAGGATCCTAGCCTGAAAGATGAGTGTGATACGGTGAAAGGATGGAGGCTGTTCAGTGGGAGAATACCTGGGGTTTGGATTATTAGTTTGTCGGTGGGATGGCAGAGAGAGTGCCTGGTCTGTAGTGCCGGCTCAGTAAATAATTGAAGGAATAAACATTTATGGATCTGAAAGGTGCACAGAGAAGGGGTAGAATCTGGTAACAGCGTACACTGGGTTAATCCACAAGAACTCGAGAATGGCCTGCGGGTTTAGGGAACAGGCAGGCGCTTAGGGAACTTTGTGGTGTTTGGGCAGGAGCTGGGGGAGATGTGCTCTTTAAACCCAGATCAGAGATTTCATCATCAGTGGACATCGCAAAACTTGAGTCCTGGTGTGGAAACCAGGAATGGAAGCGATTGATTGTCCAGAGAAATTGTGGAGGAAGAGAGATGATCCCATTTCTTGGTTGGGAATGTAAGACAGGAGAGGGTGGAGCCAGTATCTGTGCCTGACAAAGGTGCCTGATTGGTATTTCAATAGAATTAACCTTTCCGCATCTGAGGATGGGCAACTGATACTGATGTGCTGATGAGGGTGAGGAAGATTAGACTGGGGAGGAAGGTTTCCTAAGAGGCAGAAAAGAAGGCTAGAATTGAGTGGTTTGAGTTCATCTCCCAACTTCCTGTCTTTCCATTTTCTGTGGCGAGCCAGCTGGGGCAATGAGGAAGAACTCCTGTGTCCAGCCCCCTCACCTTCCGTCACCATCCCAGACCTCCACAGACGGGTTGAGAAGAGCCCCTTGAGCGTCAGGTGGCCTTGCCAACTGCTGGACGGGTCAAGGTGACTTCTCATTGTTTCCCCAGGCTGAGAAGAAAGCCAAGGTAATTGCAGTAATGAATGCTGTGGAAGAGAACCAGGGGTCTGGGGAGTCTCAGAAGGTGGAGGAGGCCAGCCCCCCTGCTGTGCAGCAGCCCACTGACCCCGCATCGCCCACCGTGGCCACCACCCCCGAACCTCTGGGGGCTGATGCCGGGGACAAGAATGCCACCAAAGCAGCCGACGATGAACCGGAGTACGAGGTGAGCGGCTTACTTCTCACCAGCCTTGTCCGGGGCTTCACACGCCAGCCCCTCCTGTCCTGCTCTGCTCACTCCATCTCTCACTGGCCGCTCACTGTCTCCACCTGACCCCAGGCCTCTCTGTCCCCTGGTTTTGCTCTGTCTTGCTTCGTTCAGATGGAGCTCCCTCCTGGCTGGCCTGCCCCCAGATGCCCAGGGCTGGGGTTGCCATGGGGGGATCAGGGTGGCAGGGCCTCGTGACCACTGTGTAATGATTTCTGCTCCTTGGGGCTCCAGGACGGCCGGGGCTTTGGCATTGGGGAGCTGGTGTGGGGGAAACTGCGGGGCTTCTCCTGGTGGCCAGGCCGCATTGTGTCTTGGTGGATGACGGGCCGGAGCCGAGCAGCCGAAGGCACCCGCTGGGTCATGTGGTTCGGAGACGGCAAGTTCTCAGTGGTGAGTCGTGGGGTTTAGCAGTACCCTGGGGGAGAACAGGTCTGGATCCCACGGCCTGTGGTCTTGGCTGGGGGCAGTCTAGAATTGGGGTGGGAGGAATGGGCTCTGCATACCCCCCCTCTGCATGTGGGAAGAAGCCCGAGAGATGATTAAGTTGCACCCTGGCTCAGAGAGGCCGCCCGCCCGCCTGGTTTTAGCCGTCAGGAAACCCTTGACTAGAATCCCTTTCCCACCTACATTCAGGTCCTCCTGATTCTGGTCCAGACTCCCCTTTCGCATCGGGTAATTATTTATCAGTGCACCTGGCCCTCTTAAGGGCTGAAGCTGACTTTAATGCCCCCGACCCCTGGCACTTGCGAGGCACGTGGTAGGTGCTCAAGTGTGGGGAGCAGCAAACCAGGGGCCGTGCTCATCCCTCCAGGTGTGCGTGGAGAAGCTGATGCCGCTGAGCTCGTTTTGCAGCGCGTTCCACCAGGCCACCTACAACAAGCAGCCCATGTACCGCAAAGCCATCTACGAAGTCCTGCAGGTGAGCGTCCCTCCACGGAGCCCGGAGGAGGAGCTTAGACAGCAGGCCTGGAAGCCAGACTGTGGTGGTCAGGCCCGGGCAGAGCCTCCTTTTGCCCCCAGCTTCTCCACCTCATTCACCTCTTTCTACACTCTTCCTCCTCAATGGTTCTTCGCCCACCTCTTGGTACCCTCAAGTCCGACTTTCCTGCCTCCCAGCCCAGCCTGTCCTGACGCACACCCCGCCCCCACATGTTGCCCTCCAGGTGGCCAGCAGCCGCTCCGGGAAACTGTTCCCAGCGTGCCATGACAGCGACGAGAGTGACACTGCCAAGGCCGTGGAGGTGCAGAACAAGCAAATGATTGAATGGGCCCTTGGGGGGTTCCAGCCCTCTGGCCCCAAGGGCCTGGAGCCACCAGAAGGTAAATGCAGGTGCCCGGCGTAGCTTTCTGGGAGCCCTGCCCACCAGGGGGACCCATGCCAGGGCTGGGAAAGCCATGCTTAGGGAGAGCTGCTGAGGTCTCTGCAAAGAAGCCCAGTGGGAATGGCCAGGGTCTCCCTCACCCTGGGGTCAGCGTTGGCCAGTGCTGCTCTGGGGCTCCAGGGTTACCCACTCTCCATTGTCTTGCTGGATCCTGGGAGGTGGGGCAAATTGGGGACCCAGCTGTACCCCACTGTAGGCAGAGGAGGGGAAGGGAGAGGACTGGGGCTTCCTGTCATCCTGTAACTGTGACCTTGTCACCTGCTTTCCTGATCAGAGGAGAAGAATCCTTACAAAGAAGTTTACACAGACATGTGGGTTGAACCTGAGGCAGCTGCCTATGCACCACCCCCACCAGCCAAAAAGCCCCGAAAGAGCACAACAGAGAAGCCCAAGGTCAAGGAGATTATCGATGAACGCACAAGAGGTAGTTGGCCTGTTTCTGGAGAGAGTAGTGCCAGGAGGCCGGCATTCCGAGGAGTGGGTGTGGCCCTGGTGGCCTCCTCTGATGCTGGCTTCCCTCCCCTCTGCAGAGCGGCTGGTGTACGAAGTGCGGCAGAAGTGCCGGAATATTGAAGGTGAGTGTGTGGCCTGGGCGTTCTGGTGCTCCCAGTGTGGTGCCAGCCACGGAGTAGCACGCACTTAGGAAGAGCCCTGTGATGTTACTCAGTGATGGGGCCTGTCTTGCAGGTCCCACCACCTCCAACCTGCTTCACGCACTGTTTGTCTTCCTGGTGCTATGGTTTTGCTTTCCGGTCAATGGCATCGGCTGGTCTTTAGGGTTTGGGACACCCCAATGAGTCAAAGAAGGGTGACCCTTCTTGGATTTGGTTGAACTTGCCTGAAGATAAGCTTTTGGCTTCTCATCTTTCCTTACTGTCCCGCATCCTACTTCTGTCTCCCTTGGCCTAGTGGTGGTGTATGTGGCTTGGGGCCCGGCAGGATTGGGGGCAGGGGCCAAGACTTGAAGACTGCCCCAGGAATACCTCTAGAGTGACTGAGCCAAGGCCCAGTTCTCACGAGTGGGTTTCTGTCCCCTGCTCTAAGAAATGAATGGCCTCCTGAGGCTGGGGACACTGTGCCTCCCTTTTCCATGGGGAGCTCTCCCAGACTCCTCTCTGCCTCCTTTCCTGGCTGCTCCAACACACTTCTTTTTTGTAGCTGTCTGGGGCTGGGCTCTGGCCTGGGTGGGAGGAGCCCTTGGTGGTGCTCACTCCACTCACTCTGCTCTCCAGACATTTGCATTTCTTGTGGGAGCCTCAACGTCACCCTGGAACACCCTCTCTTCACTGGAGGAATGTGCCAAAACTGCAAGGTAGGGGCACACTCGCCCCAAGAGGTGTAGTTGAGGGCAGCCCTTGGTCCCTTGGCCAACTACGTCTCCTGCCTTTGTGGGCGTGTAGGGGGAAGGCACCTGGGTGGGTATGACAGAGACCTCAAGGTTTACTCTGGACGCAGAGGATCCTCATACATGGGTCCTTGGGCTTCAAGCTTTTGAGTTGCTTTTTTTTTTTTTTTCTCCTCTGAAAGATTATTTTCCCCTCTAGAATGGGAACTGCCCCATTTTAGTCCCCAGATGTGGGCAGGACTCACAGTGTCACAGTCACTAGTAAGAAGGGGGTGGGAACTGGGTTGCCATGTCCTTGGGAGCCCCAGGAGAAAAGCCTCACGCCCACAGGAAGGAAGAAGGTGGTGTGCCCCTCCCTCCCTGGCCTTGCTCTCACGTGCCGCTTTGGTTCTGTCCACTGTTGGGGGGACACGTGGTTTCCCCTTCCCAGATCTGTGATTCGGGCCTGACCCAGGCTGGGCGGGTGGTGGGATCATGTCTCCAGGGCTGAGTCAAGGTTCCAAGAAGCCAGGTTTGGAGCCTGCCTTCACCCTGGCTGTCCTGGTCCTGCCCTGGTGGTTTCTGACCCTCTACGCTGCTCTCTAGAACTGCTTCCTGGAGTGCGCATACCAGTACGATGACGATGGCTATCAGTCCTACTGCACCATCTGCTGTGGGGGGCGTGAGGTGCTCATGTGCGGGAACAACAACTGCTGCAGGTGAGGGCTGCCGCCCCGGACCAGAGCTGGCCCTCCCTCCTTGGCCAGGACCTGGGCTCTCACTGCCTGCCCACCACGCCCCTCCAGCTGTGCTCTGGACTGGGTGCTTCTGTTCCAGGCGGCACGCCTTGGCAGTCCTGGATTGGGGCTGGGAGTCCCCTCTGCTCACTGGGCTTCCTTCCAGGTGCTTTTGCGTGGAGTGTGTGGACCTCTTGGTGGGGCCGGGGGCTGCCCAGGCGGCCATTAAGGAAGACCCCTGGAATTGCTACATGTGTGGGCACAAGGGTACCTATGGGCTGCTGCGGCGGCGGGACGACTGGCCCTCTAGGCTCCAGATGTTCTTCGCCAATAACCACGACCAGGAATTTGTGAGTGCTGGGCTTGGAGCGAGGTGTTGAGCTCTTTGCTGAGACTTGGTGGTGGTTTGTGCAGGTCTGAGCAGTCTGGCTGGAGGGCCAGCCCTGGTCGGGGGGTCTGTGGAACACCGCTGGGCATTCACCTGACCTGTCGTGCTCACTGCTTAGGACCCTCCGAAGGTTTATCCACCTGTCCCAGCTGAGAAGAGGAAGCCCATCCGGGTGCTGTCTCTCTTTGACGGAATTGCTACAGGTGAGGGGCACAGGCCCATGAGAGGTGCTGGCCCCTCTGTTCCTAGGATGGGGGAGCCGTTGTGGGGAGGGACACTAAACTCTGGCAAAACAAAATGATTGTTAACATCACAGCTGTTAAAATATTACCCTAAAGAGAAAACTTTTATGTGAAATGAAAAAGTACACAGTCGTTGGACAGGGGGTTTGGCCAAAATTAAAAAGTAAAAATACTGTCCTGTTCAGTGGGCACCTTCCTTAACAAAGGAGACTCTGTGGCAGGGGATATAGCTATCATCATGATCAATGAGGATTTCACAGAGCTTTGGACAGACTCGGACTTAGTGACCCAAACACAAACATACACAGTTCTGTTGTGTTTCACTTATACACAAGCTAGTATAAAGAAGCCTTATTTAAATCACCTGTTACCTTTTCACTAATATTTTGGTATTTGTCCTTTAGATTTTTCTGTGTGAGTGTTTATATAATCATCCATATAAAGATAGGTAAATTAAAGAGGACAGGAAATGCATACCGTCTGGTTCCCTGCCTTGTTGTTACTATGGCCACTTTTTCATGTCAAGAAATACACAGCTGGCCGGGCGCGGTGGCTCACGCCTGTAATCCTAGCTCTCTGGGAGGCTGAGGCGGGCGGATTGTTTGAGCTCAGGAGTTCAAAACCAGCCTGAGCAAGAGCGAGACCCCGTCTCTACTAAAATTAGAAAGAAATTAATTGGACAACTAAAAATATATATAGAAAAAATTAGCCAGGCATGGGGGCACATGCCTGTAGTCCCAGCTACTTGGGAGGCTGAGGCAGGAGGATCGCTTGAGCCCAGGAGTTTGAGGTTGCTGTGAGCTAGGCTGACGCCACGGCACTCTAGCCCGGGCAACACGGTGAGACTCTGTCTCAAAAAAAAAAAAAAAAAAAAAATACACAGCTATATTTATTTATAAATGCTGTGTAGGATTCCATTGAGTGAAAGTCCCATCATTTACTGAACTAACCCCCTATTAGGTCATTCACTATTTTTTTATTATTGTAAGCAGTGCTGTGGCAAGTGTCCTTATACATCTTTATCTACTTAAACCATTAACTCCTTAGGAAAAACTCTTAGGAGATGCTGGGTTACCTCACAGGCACTATTTTTTTGAGGTGGCTCTTAACGTTGCCAGAAAGCCTTCTGGAAGGTTGTACTGCAGTGTATATCCACCCCCTGCCCTGCCGCAGGCCGAGGGCTTCCCAGTTCTTAAGAAAGAGATATATCTCCTCAGAACTTGTGCCCTTATCTCATGAGAGGGAACCTTGGCCGAAGGGTCGCGGTGGCTTCGCAGGCCAGAGGTTCTGTTCTCATCTCAATGCTGATGTTCTGTAAACCTGCAGAAGCTGATTTATAGCTTTCGTTTCCCAGGCTAGAACCTGGAGGCCTTCCTTAAATCACATCACAACCCAAGGCGCTGTAAAAGCTCCTTGGTGGGGGGATCTCTTGGGAGCAGTAGAAATGGGGCCTCTGTACCTGTGTCTCCTGAAGCTCTTGGGGTCTGTTCTGATTGTTTCCTTGCGTCAGCTCAGCAGGCGTGGATGGAGGGATCGTGGTAAGGAAGTCAATGTAGTTAGTTGGCTCAGCAGGAAACGTAGTGAGTGGGGCCTCCTACTCTGTCTTGAAGACCATTTGCAATCCAAGAGAGGGGCGGAATGAGGAGTGTATAAACTGCTCTGATGAGGTGACAAGGGATGCAGTGCTGGGGGCTGACAGGGGAGGGGAAGGGGAGTCCAGGGGGCATTTAGGTTGAGTCTTGAAGGGCAGGTAGAATTGCAACAGGAGACAGTAAGAGGGTGAGGAAGGACCAAGATGTAAATGTAGAAACAACAAAGATAAGACCCCCAAAAAGGTCATCTGCTGTTCTCCCTAAATCCTGAAGCCACCCGCCCTCTGGTCAGTCTTCCTGGGCTTTGACCACCCAAGTAGGCCACACTAGGCTCGAAACAGCCTTGATGTACTTATCGATATTCCAGTTTGACCCAGAAGGGGTTCGAGGCTGCTCTGTGGGTAGGGCTTGCGCTTGCAGCTGACCCCAGGAGTCCTGGGTCGCCGGAGGGCTCCCCTGCTAAGACCAAGGTGCTGGGGAGATGGCCGTGAGTGACAGTGCTCTCTGCCGTCCGACGCAGGGCTCCTGGTGCTGAAGGACCTGGGCATCCAGGTGGACCGCTACATTGCCTCGGAGGTGTGTGAGGACTCCATCACAGTGGGCATGGTGCGGCATCAGGGGAAGATCATGTACGTCGGGGACGTCCGCAGCGTCACACAGAAGCATGTATGTCAGTGGGACATGCCCTGCCTTCCCTCCCTGCACACCGGCTTCTGGAGCAGCCCCCTGTCCCCTGTCATTTGGTTCATTTGCTCCCTTCCTTTCCCCTTACCCCCAGCCTCTCTTTCTCCTTATCTTCCATTTTTCGTCTTTGCCACTCTAAAGTGGGAATTGGGGAGCTTGCCTTCTCAGGCTCCAGCTACTCCCTGGGCTATTTTCAGGGCCCTTTCTACTTTGTAGAGTGCAGTGGATTGGGTGGTTCCTCTGCTCCTGATGTTTTCCACAAGAAGCTTTACCAGCCTCCATTTTTCTGGGGGGCTCTGACAGTGTGCCTCTGCTCTTCCAGTTATCTGGGCCTCCCTCTGAAACTGTAAGCCCTCTGGAATCCTGAAGGGCATTTGGAGAGCATTCCGATGCCCAGACACTGCCTAAACTGCTCAGAGCGCAGGGTACCTTCAGACTCAGCGTCTGCCTAGACCACCTTCCAGTGAGTGGCTGCATTTCTTGCCTGGTTTCCCTGCTGGCCTCAGAGATGACCCACGTTGGTCCCCTCACTTCTTGTTTAGGAAGCTGAGCCCAGACAGCCTCAGAGACTTGCCCGTGGCTGCACAGTGGGGTAGTGAGTAGAGCAGCCGGGTCTCCTCTCCCATGCCAAAGGACTTTTTTGCCAAATTCACAGAAATTCCTCTTTCTTCCTTTGTGCCTCTGTCCCTGGACGGCAGGCCCATCATGTTGCCTTTATCCTCCCAGATCCAGGAATGGGGCCCATTCGATCTGGTGATTGGGGGCAGTCCCTGCAATGATCTCTCCATCGTCAACCCTGCCCGCAAGGGACTCTACGGTAGGTGCCGTCCTCACCCTTCCACCTTCTGAGCTGGTGCTTCCGCACTTAGGTTTCCTCCTTGGATACTTCTGCCCTGGGACAGCTGTTCCCAGTGACCCTGTCTGCCCTTGCCCTCCCCACGCCCGAGCCACACCACTGTCTTACACAGACAGTCCCCAGCTGATGGCTTTCTCTTCCGACCTCTCAGAGGGCACTGGCCGGCTCTTCTTTGAGTTCTACCGCCTCCTGCATGATGCGCGGCCCAAGGAGGGAGATGATCGCCCCTTCTTCTGGCTCTTTGAGAATGTGGTGGCCATGGGCGTTAGTGACAAGAGGGACATCTCGCGATTTCTCGAGGTATAGCCAGCAACCTTGGTTTGGCCAGCTCACTAATGGCTTCTACCTTGGACTGCTGCTTTATCCCTGTCTCATCTGCATTGTGGAGCTGGGGACTGGTGACTTCTGCTTTGCAAGGGCCTGTTTGGGAAGCTCCGGGCTTCCCAAATACAAGGGGAGCAAGCCGTGTTAGAGGCCCACCTCAGAAAGAACTGGTGGTCCCACTCTAATAGACGGTATTGTGGGTGTGGCCCTCGGGTTGAAGGACCTGTCACTAAATCAGGTGGGGTTCTGGGGTTGGGCAATTCTATGTGGTGTTACGCTGGGGGACCTCTGAGATGCCAAAATCAATTTTCCCTGACCAGAAGGACTCGTCCTCACTCCCTGGCACCATGATGGATGCTTTACAGCACCTGAGAAGAAAACATGGCCTATCTCAGTTTTTATTCCTTAGACGAGTCCCAGTTTAGCTCTGAGCCAGGTTTGAGCCATGCGCAGAGGACCTGCTACCAGAGGCACTCCTGGTGGGCCTTCTGCGAGCTCGAGCCCATGCCTCATCCTTGGTCAGTAACCCTTCAAGCCATGTTCTGACTTTAAAATGTGAGCAGGTATCTGTTTGGCTTGTAATAAGGACGTATAGTGAACACACCTGCACACACTAGAACTGTCTTTCTCAGAGCCTCTGGGTGGTCTGGAGCCGCATTATCCAATATGGTAGCCACCAGCCACATGCAGCTATTTAAATTAACATTAAAAATTCAGTTCCTTAGTCACCCTGGCCTCATTTCAAGCACAAAATAGCCACCTGTAGCTAGTGGGCTTGTGGCTACTGCATTGAACAGTGCAGATAGAGAACATTCCCATCGTCGCAGAAGTTCAGCTGGACAATGCTGGTCTAGAATGTTCCATTGAGAGCATGTGGAATGTGGCTAGGTTTAATTCCAGCTTTTCCTGGAGACTTCAGGCTATCGCAGCGTGTGGTTCCTGAGAGAGAAGTAAGAGCCTTTGAGGCTTCAAGGCTCTAAACCAGCAACATTACCCTGAGATGTTTAATATTCCTCCTTCTCTCATCTGTAAACTATCTTCTGTTTTCTAGTCCAACCCTGTGATGATTGATGCCAAAGAAGTGTCAGCTGCACACAGGGCCCGCTACTTCTGGGGTAACCTTCCCGGTATGAACAGGTTGGTGAGAGTGCCTAGGCCTGGCGTGGCTATGGGTCGGGGTCTGTAGGCAGGACAGCCCGGGGCAGGTGTGGGGGGGTCCCTGAGTGGGCCCTCTCGGGCTGACCTCTGCTAAGTGGCTTGCTGCTCTGCCACATTCTTCTTTATTTCCTTTTCCTCGAGGAAGAAAGGGGAGTCAGGTATAAAATACTCGTCTGAGCAACCAACAACTAGTGATCTTAAAGCAGGACCTTGAAAATTTACAAGTGCATTCGTGCTGCTGAGTTACAGTTGGTTCTCCTCCATGGGTGATGTATCCGGAGCCAACTGGTCCCTAGATGCTCCTGGGGTAAAGCTGTGGAGGCTGTCACTGGGGTTGGCAAAGGGCTGCATCCTGCTCTAGGAGAAGGGAACCTTGAAGCAGCACCACGCAAGTACGAGGGTTCTGCTTAACTTAGTAATCACACACTTTGTTGGCTTTAGGGCCTTTGTCGGAAGGATTTTCTTCATTTAGTTTGCACAGATAAAGATTTTCGCTGGGGCCGGGCACGGTGGCTCACGCCTGTAATCCTAGCACTCTGGGAGGCCGAGGCGGTTGGATTGTTTGAGCTCAGGAGTTCGAAACCAGCCTGAATAAGAGCGAGACCCTGTCTCTACTAAAAATAGAAAGAAATTAATCAGACAACT